CAACCTCATCATTCCCCAACCCCGCACCGCCCGCTTCTATCTCCTTCCCAAAATCCACAAACCTGATTGCCCTGGTCGACCCATTGTCTCCGCCTGCTCCTGCCCCACCAGACTTATCTCCACCTATCTGGACTCCATTTTCTCCCCCTTGGTCCGGGAACTCCCTACCTATGTCTGTGACACCACTCACGCCCTCCACCTCCTCCAAAACTTCCAATTCCCTGGCCCCCAACACCTCATCTTTACCATGGACGTCCAGTCCCTATACACCTGCATTCCCCATGCAGATGGCCTAAAGGCCCTCTGTTTCTTCCTGTCCCGCAGGCCCGACTAGTCCCCCTCCACTGACACCCTCATCCGCTTACTGAACTAGTCCTCACCCTCAACATATTCTCTTTCAATTCCTCCCACTTCCTACAGGCAAAGGGGGTGGCCATGGGTACCCGCATGGGCCCAAGCTATGCCTGCCTCTTTGTAGGTTACGTGGAACAATCCCTCTTCCGTACCTACGCTGGCCCTAAACCCCACCTCTTCCTTCGTTACATTGATGACTATCGGCGCCGCCTCGTGCTCCCACGAGGAGCTCGAACAGTTCATCCACTTCACCAACACCTTCCACCCCAACCTGAAGTTCACCTGGACCATCTCTGATACGTCTCTCTCCTTCCTGGACCTCTCTATCTCCATCTCCGGCAACCACCTGGAAACTGATATCCATTTCAAGCCCACCGACACCCACAGCTACCTCGAATACAGCTCCTCCCACCCACCTTCCTGCAAAAATGCCATCCCCTATTCCCAATTCCTTCGCCTCCGCCGCATCTGCTCCCAGGATGAGGCATTCCACTCCCGTACATCTCAGATGTCCTTGTCCTCGTTTTTCAAGGACCGCAACTTCCCCCCCCTCAGTGGTCGAGAACGCCCTCGACTGTGTCTCCCGCGTTTCCCGCAACTCATCCCTCACACCCGCTCCCTGCAAAAACAACCAAAACAGAATCCCCCTCGTCCTCACGTACCACCCCACCAACCTCCGGATCCAACGCAGCATCCTTTGACACTTCCACCATCTGCAATCCGACATTTTTCCCTCCCTACCCTTATCTGCTTTCCGGAGGGACCACTCTCTCCGGGACTTCCTTGTCCAGTCCACACTCCCCTCCAGCCCCAACACACCTGGCACTTTTCCCTGCAACCGCAGGAAGTGCTACACCTGCTCCGACACCTCCCCCCTCACCCCCATCCCAGGCCCCAAGAAGACTTTCCACATCAAGCAGATGTTCGCCTGCACATCTGCTAATGTGGTATACTGTATCCGCTGTTCCCGTTGTGGCCTCCTCTACATTGGGGAAACCAAGCGGAGGCTTGGGGACTGCTTTGCAGAACACCTAAACTCGGTTCGCAATAAACAACTGTACCTCCCAGTCGCGAACCATTTCAACTCCTCCTCCCATTCCTCAGACGACATGTCCATCCTGGGCATCCTGCAATGCCACAACGATGCCACCCGAAGGTTGCAGGAACAGCAACTCCTGTTCCGCTTGGGAACCCTGCAGCCCAATGGTATCAATGTGGACTTCACAAGCTTCAAAATCTCCCCTCCCCCTACCGCATCCCAAAAGCAGCCCAGCTTCTCCCCGCCTCCCTAACCTGTCCTTCCTCCCACCTATCCCCTCCTCCCACCTCAAGCCCCACCCCCATCTCCTACCTACTAACTTCATCCCGCCCCCTTGACCTGTCCGTCCTCCCTGGACTGACCTATCT